GCAGTGTTGTAAGTATCAAACTCAGGTTGTCTAATTCTTGTATATAAGTATTATAATCACTCAAACTACTTTGTAAGGGTCAAACAATGACGCAAACTTTAAATATTTCCTTAATCCTACATGGAATTCCTTTTCCAAAATAAACAAAGGGCCTTCCAATAAAGTCATTATTTCATTTACTACCCCTGCTTCTTTCATTCCCATGACTCCAAACATAAAATCTAAGCATGGGTAATTTGGTAAATATACTGGGAGAGGGTAATGACCCGTTTGGTCCCCGCTGTAGCACTACTTTACAAGATTCACTAATTACAGAACGGCATGACAACGAGTGTTTGGAAGGTTTTCGATATTTCTGTCCCCAGTCCCCAACTCCCCTTTCGGCCCTTGGACAGCTCAGAAAGTTTTTATTTATGGACTAAACTACCCTTTCCTCATTCACTTACACATAAGACCCTCGTTTGTTTACCTTTTCTTCAAACTTTTTTTCTAAAAATGTATTGTCTAAAGCTAGATGATGGAAATTAAAGCTTGATGGTGGAAATGAGAGCATGAGAATCGATCTATGATCGTAAGTGTAAAGATAAGTACTTTATTTAGTTGTCATTCTAATTGTAAATGCAGAGATAAACACTCTATCATTTATACTCGTTCTGATTGCAAGTGCAGAGATAAGTACTCTACCACTAATTCATACTCTGACAATAAATCCATGAAGAAATGCTCTGCCACTAAAATTAAAATCTTTGTACTAGGATTTATATTTCCTCAAATGCAAACATAAAGGATCATATACTTCCAAATGATTTCCAAACTATTTGAAGAGTAGAAGGTATTACTAAGTAAAAAAAACTACAGTTTCATGAGCCTTCTTTCATATGCTCATCTTCTTGAATTTTAGCTTTAACTAGACAAAAATTATTATCGTAAGTTTTGTAGCTCTTATCATCGTCAATTTAATCGCATTCTTTTCATTTTTGTTTTACTCTATTGAAAGAAGAAGTAGCATGTACAATCACATGCACATGAACTTAAAAGGACCAACTCACTTATATCATCAATTGCCATGATAACATAAAGAGTATTTCACAATTAAAGTGGGCATCATCACTTCTTGAAAGTACAAACAATTGAGTGGAACATAGAGAGTGGAGAATTTCTTCCCATAGTACCAAGCAATCATGTTCACAGTAGTACCAACACCTCATGTTTTGGTTGCATGGTTATTTTAGGAAACTATGGCCATAAGGGCATTTTGGTAATTTTACTTTACAATGAAGCTGCTTCGGTGATTAAGAATTACCCTCTCTCACTCTCTCTGTGCTTCACATGCTCACATTCTATCAAAATCCACCAAGAACCAAGAGAAAAGCTCATTGGCCTTAGGGTATCCCTCTCTCTCTCTCTCTCTCTCTCTAACTTCTGGTTTTCCAAGATTCCACTGTGGATATGATCTTCATCTCTTCACATCAAATCCAACCATTGGATTCCCACTCCTCCATTCTCTTTGTTCGTTTCTCTCCCTGAACAATCTCACCCCACTCCTCCTCTGCCCTCCTCTGTTTTTCTCTCTGGTTTTTCATGGCTTCTTTTACTACAAATAGTAACAATTTTCAACCCCAAGGGAATAATTCCCATGTCAAAAATGATGTCAGCAGGCAGGAAATCCAAGCCGCCATTGCCAAAGCAGTGGAGCTGAGAGCTCTCCATGCTGCTCTGGTTCAAGGAAGCAGCCCTGCAAATCTCAGGTTCCCTTCTTCTTCCCCTTCCTCCCGCCCTGCCTCTCAGTTCTCTGCCCAAGACTACCCTGTTTTCACTCCGGTGAGTCGAAATTTTCGACATTCTGCATTTCTCATCCTCTGGTTTCTTGAATTTATTCTGTTTAACTTACTTGTTGTGAGCAATTTGTCCTTTTCTTTTAACTAATATTTTTGGTTTATAATATGGTTTTAATTTATAATGAGGGTGATTTTTTTGTGATTGCGAGCATGCCACTATTCGGTTAAAAAAATTTCGCAGTAGAAATTTTTTTTTCGCCTTTTTTTCGTTTTCATTATCTAACCTGGAATTTGCTTTGTTTTCTTTGTCATTGTGAGAAATTTTTGTTCTTGGTTTTCTAATGAACGCTTTTGGTGTATAATGTAGTTTTAGTTCCCAATTATATTATGGACCACTTGAATCTAGAACTAATATATAATTATTCCTAATAATGTAGTTTTAAACATTTTTATAGAACTAATGAGTGAAGGGGAACATTTTTTATGACTATAATTTTTTATAATGGTGTATTTAGAGCTAACGGAATATTGGTGCAAAAACAAATACAATAGCATTTTATGATTTATACAGCCGACGCCACTTAATAGGATAAGACTTTGTTGTAATCTTTCAATGATTCAATGATGTGTTTTTTCTTCATCAAGTTCCTACATGATAGACCAACAATTCTTTGGTTGAAGTTATTATTTTCAGTTAAATGAAAGGTGGTGATTTTTTGCAATCTTATTTTCGGCCCAATACATTGTTCTAGCTTTTGGATTGGATATATCAAAAGAAAATTCAGAACACAAAAAAGGGACAACATAAGGAGAAAATTGGAGCGTGAAAATCACAAACTCTTCGCAACCTAAATCTAATACTCAAATGCTGTATTTTATGGATACTTGGATTAGGCCAGTTGGCTAAGTCCTTAAAAAGTTTGAATTCGTCCCGTCATATATTAGAGTAGTTTAGATTTTCGTATTTGAAAAAAAAATAAAATTAATAAGGATTGTATTTTGTGGTTTCTAATGCTGAAGAGTTCACTAAGTTTGGAGACATTTTACAGAGTTACGCAGATGAAACACTGCCTGGATTTCAACAAATTCCGACGATGAATCGAACGTTATCCGAGAGTTGGGACGAGTACAGTGGGCTAGAAGGAAATGGGGATGAAACAGTTGCATCAAATTACAAGGAAAACTCATCTTCAAGAAAAGGGTTCCCTTCCGATTTCGCCAACTTAGAGTCCCATGCTTGTCCAGCTGAGGATCACAAATCTGTTACAAGCTCTTCATATGCAAACAACATCACTGTGCTTCAAACATCACCCGCCAATGAATACTTCAGGTCGAGAAGGCGAAATAGTTTGGGGGATTTCAACTCGGTTTCATCATGTAATCGATGCAAGTCAGCGACCATAACAAGCGATTCGGAGATTGGGATGAGGAACTGCAGGAATTCTAACATTGTTGTGCCGTTGACAGAATCACATTCGTCTGTTCAATCGCAGCCAAAAAGCCGGGGAGTGATTTCATGGTTGTTTCCGAAGTTAAGGAAGAAGCACAAGAACGAAAGCTCTCCAAACCGAACAGAATCAGAGGAAGTTTCTCAGGTATATAGGGAATTGGGGATAATGTCGATTGAGACGTTGAGGAAAGAGCTCATAGAAGCGAATGAGCATAGAGACACCGCGTTAATGGAGGTTTCGGGGATGAGATCTTCGCTCGGGGAGCTGAAACAGAAGATGGACTACTTGGAAACTTACTGTGAAGAGCTGAAGAGAGCTTTGAGACAAGCAACACATACCAAGATCCAAATCCCTGAAAAGCTTGGGAACTTTCCGAAGAGTGGCAAATCCAACGATGGGAACGCAGAAAACCTAATGCCGGTCAGCGAGGAAGTAATGGTGGAAGGTTTCTTACAGATAGTATCGGAATCAAGACTGTCTGTAAGACAGTTCTGCAAGATCCTTGTAGCGCAGATCGAAGTAACGGATAACACCCTGGTGGACAATTTGAACATGCTTCTCGAGCCGTTCAAATTGTCATTGAGTTCTAAGTACTCCAAGGCAGTGTTGTACCATTTGGAAGCCATCATCAACCAGTCACTCTACCAAGACTTCGAGAACTGTATGTTTCAGAAAAATGGCTCGCCGAAGATTTTAGACCCTCACCAAGCACGCCAAGCGCAGTTTTCTTCCTTCGTTGCCCTCAGAAACTTGAGCTGGAATGAAGTATTAAGAAAGGGAACGAAGTATTACTGCGAAGAATTCAGTAAGTTTTGTGATCAGAAGATGAGTTGCATCATTACAACACTGAATTGGACAAGGCCGTGGCCGGAGCAGGTTCTTCAAGCATTCTTTGTTGCTACCAAGTGCATTTGGTTGCTTCATTTGCTTGCATTTTCGTTCAATCCGCCTCTCGGAATTCTGAGGGTGGAGGAGAATAGGAGCTTTGATCCACACTACATGGAAGACATGTTCATGGACAGGCAGAGATCGCACGGTCCGAGCCGGGTTAAGATTATGGTAATGCCGGGGTTTTATGTTCAGGATAGGGTTTTAAGGTGTAAGGTTCTTTGCAGATACAAGTCTGCAGGTTCAGTAAATTGATCCTTTCTCTTTAACTTTTTTTTCTTAGTTTTTTCATCAATCAATTATTGCCTTCTTTTAGGTTTTTTAATTTATTTTTTATGGGTTAATTGTTCAACATGAGGAAGTATGTACCCTTGATGTTTAAAGTAGAGGCTGACATAAAGATTGGTCTGTTATTTTGTTCACTATGCCTCCTTTAATATTGACATGTTGTTCATCGATTACACATTTCGGCTTGATCTTAAGCCCTTGACTCACCCTCCGTAGACGAACCTTGCGGAGGAACCCTTAGGATTTTGGGGTTTGATTCTCACCAATATTTGCGTTACTCAAGCCGAGATTCTTGCTTCCGCTCGACATATATCGTCTAAGACAATTCATACTTTCAATTATATAGTTGTTGGTATTGTGTTAATATGGTTATCAGTGAAAGTCTACATGGCAAATTACTAGCGATGTGGCATCAGTCCATTAGAATTTAGAGGGTCGGACCAGTAAACTGGTCAGGCGGTATGACCCAAGTTTTTCCCCCCCTTAACCAGAACCTGCTTATAAATGAGAAAATTCATTAAATTATGCAACTTTTCTTCTTTTTTGGTTAAACCACTGATCTCATGGATTCTGAAGCAAAAAAATGTAACTGATATTGTAGAATAGCCATTCTATTGAACCAATTAAAGCAAACAAAACAAGTACAAACGAATCAATTAGAGCAAAGTTTCGAGCGTGGCAAATATTCATCTCAAAACAAGTACAAACGAATCAATTAGAGCATCATGACCAGAAAAGACGGGGTGGAACTCCCAACAAGTTTTTTGCAACCGTAAATGTTAATCCCATAGATACGAGCAGAGGCCGGATTTGTTTATGACAATTTGAACCCTCGCCCCCTCAGGGCATGCCGTCCATCAACTGAAGCTCAGTGCAGATACCTTCATGGATTTACTTTTACTTTCTTCATCAGCTCTATGAATTCGCTAAAAACTGCAGCAAAAAAAAAAAAAATTCCCTTTGAACTTTTTTTGTAATGTAACGCTAACACAATATGTAACTTTATAAAGAAATGGTATCGTAATTGTGATAGAAAGTAGCTAGAAAGAAGCAACAGGATAAAGAAAAGCCGCCATTGCTATGAGCTCTAGTTTCACCTTTCAGTAGATGATGAAATTCCTAGATTTCCTGTTAATAGTGCATGTCTCTAGTTGGTGCAAGCACCTACCACATAAAATACTACTAAATTTAATGTTTACTTATCAGTATGTAGAAACACAATTCACATTACCGTAGTCTGAATCATGAGGTCCCGGGGATGCTTCAGGGTGGTACTGAATAGACATGATGTTTCGTGCAGGATAGGCAAGACCAGCACAACTTCCATCATTGAGATTAACATGAGTTACTTCTACACCCTTGGGAAGTGATGCAGCCTCAACTGCATAGTTGTGATTCTGCGACAAAATTAATGAGGTTCACAGATGTCTATCACTTTGTCATGTTTACTTTAGGATGACAGTTCAAAAATTTCGAACATCATAAAATTTATATGATTGAGATACCTGAGCACTTATCTCAACATCTCCAGTACGAAGATTACGGACTGGATGATTTCCTCCATGGTGGCCAAACTTCATTTTGAAAGTTTTACCGCCTAATGCCAGGCCAAGCAACTGATGGCCCATGCAAATTCCAAAAACGGGAACCTTCCCAAGAATTTCCTTGACTGTTTCAACAGCATAAGGAACAGCAGATGGGTCTCCGGGGCCATTGCTGAAAAGGACCCCATCTGGTTTCATTTTCAGAGTCTCTGAAGCTGGCCATGTTGAAGGCACAACAGTGATTTTACAACCATACGAAGCCAAGCGCCTGAGTATATTATGCTTGATTCCAAAATCATATGCAACAACCTTCAATTCATACCGAAAGGAATAAGAATAAAGGTCAACTAAGACCGAAGTACCAACATCAGAGCAATACTGGTCCGTTAGCAAATGTGTTTGCCTTTTGTTTTCTAGTTAAAGAGATAAAGGATGGAGGAGGAGAGAAACAAGATATGAGAGGTGAGTGGTGACGAAGAGAGTAAGAATAATAGGATACAATTAGAACTAAAAAGCATTTACTTCCAAAACCATCCTGCATATTTTCCCTTCATCTCTGTTCTCATTCTCCTCTCCTTTTTCCCTCTCTTTAATTTAAAAACGAAGAACGAAAATGATACCAAACATTGCGGAAGGAATTCAAATTTGACTCAATGCTGACTTACGTGAAATGCATCTCCATCTCTTTTGCTGGAGTTAAATGCCCACTCTGAATGTGTTTTATCAACCCATTCATGAGGGGCCTTACAAGACACACCACTTATTAGATCCACCCCTGCAAAATTAAAACAATAAATCTTGGAACTTTAATCCTTCGACATTGTTTTTCTTCTGTTAAATCCTTTGACTTATTCAACTAGCTTGATTTAATCCTTACCAACAATGTCCCATGAACGAGACATTTCCAATAGTTCTTCATCTGATTTTGTCTGTTCTGTGCTCAAAACACCAATAAGGCTTCCATCTTGCCTTAGTCTTCGGGTGATAGCACGTGTGTCAACATCATCTGTTGCATAATCAATCAGCATGGGACACAAAGAGTGAGATTTACACACATACAGCTTAGCACACCAACTAACAACATTCTTCAAAATATTAGTGCCTTAAATATTGATGACCGGGTCTAACTTACAAATTCCCATGATGTTTCTTTCTGCTAAATAATCACCAATTGTTTCTGCACATCTCCAATTTGACGTACTGCAAATTTTTGAAGACACACAGTTTAGTTTATTGTCAAAACTGAGCACAGCTCAATCACGGAAGCAGCTGAAATTAATATTCCTACAGCAAGGAAGCACACCTGATACTTAAACTTCGGATCACTAAACCAGCAAGGAAGCATTTCCTTGATTCTTCATCATCTGATAAGGACAACACCAATTTCGTAATTCAGCATCCAAGATGGCATAAATTCAAAAGTACAGAAAGAAAACTCCACCTACCAAAATTTACACCAGTGTTTCCAATATGTGGGTTTGTCATCAGGACAAATTGGCCAGCATAACTAGGATCTGTAATAATTTCTTGGTACCTGCGTAAACATGTAAAATGCATGTGTATCAGACTCCATATAATACTCATGCTGAACTTATCAATTCTTGGACATTGATGCCCAACCAAAGACGAGGTAACTAGTTCAATAATACAAGTACCAAAATTACGTTAGCCAAAGTGTGATCATCACTACGGAATGGGAGAAAGAAACACAGGAGCTTTATGAACTTCACATAATCGCTCAGGTTGAAGACAGTCTGAGAAGGCTAACAAATAATCACCTACTACTCTGGTTATTATACTACCAAGCTCAAAAGGTTATTCCTACAAAACGTTACAATGTTAAGACATGCAGCTAAGTCCCACGAATATGCAGCTAAGTTCCACGAATATGCAGAACCCGACATCAAAGTTAAAATGTTAAGATAAGTTGCTGGCAGATACAAAATCATAAGTTGTCTCACCCGGTCAAGGATGTGTTGAATACAACTTCACCAACTTGGGTCCCTGAAGCACCAAACGACTTTGCTTTCCAGATTGAACCATCTTCAAGCACTAGCCTAGCATCTGAAGTCTTCCAAGGTTTCTCTGCCAAATCTAAACCCCCACAAGCAATGCAAAACACAAAGAATTATACATTTTTAATAATAAAACTACATATTTAATCTGTATTATCAAGAAATTAACAACATTATACGAGTCTGAGAGTGAATGCTGAGCCTAAGAACAAGAATTTCCATAAATAAACCCATCATTATTTTTCCTTTTTCTTTTTAATTTTTAATTTTTTCAAATATCTGGACATAAAATTGGATTTCCATGGCACCCAATTAACTTGTTCTCCCATCTTATTACCGTCAAATATACACACTCTTTTTTTTTTCTAATAAAAAACAAACCTTTTGAATATTCGTGCGCATTAACGTAACGGGAAAGTTGGAATACTAAAAGAAAAACAATTGAAACAAGAGGTAGCGGCAGAGCAGCACCTGGGACGGCGGTTGAGGTGGCGGGGGAGCATCTGAGAGTGAAAGCGCGAAGCTTTGAAGGTTTTGGAGACTTGGGATTGAATAAAGTCGACGGATTTCTAAGAGCTAATTCCATAGCTGCCGAGGCCATTCTCCTCTCTCTGTTGCGGCAGTGGATTATTTGGCTTTAGAGAGAGAGATACGTTGTGCCCTTTTTGTGGGTATTCATAAAAATCTTTTAATTTTTTTTGCTTTGGACTAAATAAATTGAAGTGTATTTTAGTACTACAGTTTTATGATATTCTATTTCATTTATAAGTGAAAAATCTTAGATTCAATTCTCGTCAAATATAAATTTGAATTTTATTATTACAAGCCCATTGTGAGGCTTAGCCACTCTCCCACCCTCTTAGTATAGATAATATTGTTTGGTCAAAAAAATAAAAATGAAGAAGATCTCTGACAAAAAATTAACAAACGTTTGTGAGAGGTAAAAATGAGTGCATAGTTAACACTATCCATTTTTAACTTTAGAATTGGCCCAAATCTTTATCCTAGTTTATAATTTAGACATTTGTTCATTAAGGTTTCTGAATGTAACAAAATATTATCATTCGTTCGTATCATCAACTTTGGGACAAAGCTACAAACATACAAGTCTATCTAATTCATTACTTTCCTCTCTTGATTTTCATTGATTTCTTCAATAGATTGGCAGCTTTAAGTTTGAGATAAGGTTCCTCCGCAAGGTTTGTCCACGGAGGGTGAGTCAAGGCTTAAAATCATGTCAAAAGGCGTAATCAATGGACAATAGGTGAATATTCTTGTACTACTCCTTGTTGGTTCCAAAGGATAGAGGAGGCTAGGTTAGCCAAAAGATGGTTATCGGTTCAAGGACAGGGAGATTGGGTTAGTATGAATCTATTGTCTTGGATCGATTATGTAACGTTTGGAGAGAAAGGGAAGATGCGAGACTTGAGTAATAGTTTGCCGAATCTTTAACTAACCTTCGTTGACTTCTGCCGAACTTTCAAAGGAATTCGGTTGGATCTGCCGAAAGGCTTTATGCAACTAGGGTTAGCACAAACACAGTAAACTAAAAGTGAAGGAAAGTAAACAGTACCGAACGCAGGGCTAATTAATTTGTTGGCTTGCTCCTTAGCTCTTCAGCATTCAGTAATTCTTCCATGGCTTGGACAGAACCCCCCCTCATCTTTTATGGCATTTTTGAACATGTCCCTAACCTCACAAGACAAGCATTCTTTATTTTAACCATGCAGATGCAGCTCCGCCCTCTCGCCGCCTCCACACACACGCCGACCTCTTCTCCCAAGAACTTAGCATTGTGAAACTGTTCAGGTTCAGCTCCCAAAGGCCACCCATGTTTCACCTTCCCATGACAAAGTGCTTCAATGAGTTCACATATACTTAGTTCAGTTTGGTTGCACAGTTTCTCTAGATCATTTTTGTCTTTGCATTCGGATTCATTAAAAAGTTAATGTTGATATTGGCCAATGGGAAAGGATTTAGACAATATTTGGTACCATGTTTGCTGCTCATATAAATTTCTCTTGCAGTTGTTACCTGACCATTATGGCATGTTAAACAAAAAGTTAGGTGCATCAAGAGAGAAATAAAAAAGCAAAGATAAGAAGAATTAAGCATATAAGGTTTGAACAAGTAGAGAGAAGTTCGGCTGGGCTAGCCCATAAAGCCACCCTAGCCCCCCACCATCTCTCTCATTCTCTTTATTCTTTGCTGCCAAGATATATCAACTGTTGCCGGCAGGGTTGGCAGGTCTCAAGATGCTAGTATAGAGGGAATGAGATCCCCTTTGGATTTCTATGTTTGAAAATCGTGGACCTAGAGATTCGGACCGTTCAAAAAGAGAGAAAGAGATCTGGACCGTTCAAGTTTTTGGATTTTTGTGAAGTGGACAAGTGAAATGGGCTAATAGGAATTGTATGATTAAAATTGAATGGTCCGAATCTCTCAATCTGCATGCAACAGACATAAAAATCCAGAGTGGCTCCCAATCCAGGACGGTGCATGCATGCTAATTAATCCCAAATGAACCCTTTAATAATCTCCTTTCTCTTCACACACACACACACACACACATATATATATATATATATATTTATCACAGGTTCTGGTAAGGAATAGTAAGCAACACACTATAGAACACACACACACACACACACACACACACACACACACACACACACACATATATATATATATATTTATCACAGGTTCTGGTAAGGAATAGTAAGCAACACAATATAGAACACACACACACACACACACACACACACATATATATGTATTCACAGGTTCTGGTAAGGAATAGTAAGCAACACAATATCCATCTATATTTTTCATTCAATTTTCAATAGCAATGGCAGAAGTCAAGGAACACATAGTTATGTTCCCATTCATGGCATAAGGCCATATAATTCCATTCCTTGCTTTGGCCCAACAACTAGAGCACAGAAAAGGTTGCACCATAACCCTAATCAACACCCCACTCAACACCAAGAAGCTCAGCTCCTCCCTCCCTCCGAACACCACCATTCGCCTCCTCGAAATCCCTTTCAAGAGCTCCGACCACGGTCTTCCCAGCAACGCCGAAAACACTAATTCCGTATCCTACCATCTCATCCTCAAACTCTTTCAAGCTTCCTTGTCACTCAAGCCTTCTTTCAGAAACCTAATGCACGGTCTTGTCCATGAAAGAAATGGACTGCGCCAACCGGTTTGCATGATCACTGACATCTTCTTTGGGTGGACGATTGAGATAGCTCATGAGTTTGGCATGTCCCATGCTGTGTTCTCCATAGCTGGAGGGTTCGGCATGGTGTGCTATTACTCCTTCTGCTTGCATTTACCTCATCTGAAAGCAAAATCCGGAGAATATGAATTCACACTGCCTGATTTTCCAGAAGCTAAGAAATTTCATATATCCCAGCTCTCAGAAAGTCTTAGACTGAGCAATGGCACCGACCCCTTTTCAGTGTTTGTGCATAAAGCATTCAATAAGTGCATGAAAACTGACGGATTGGTAATCAACATGGTGGAGGAGCTAGACAAAACCGGGCTATTGTACCTCCGGAAGATCTTTAAATTGCCAGTTTGGGCAGTTGGACCGCTTCTTCTATCATCCAGAAATGGGACTAAAAGGGCAGGAAAAGAATCCGGACTCGTACCAGAAGCATGCAAAAACTGGCAATTTTGTACATTTCATTTGGTTCTCAAAACACAGTTTCGAAGTCTCAGATGATGCAATTGGCAATGGCATTGGAGTCAAGTGGTAAAAACTTCATTTGGGATGTTAGGTAACCATTGGAATATAATGTTGATCCAGAGTTCATGGAGAACGAGTGGTTTCCGGAAGGGTTCGTGCAGAGGATTAAAGCTCGAAACAAAGGGCTAATTGTTGAAAAATGGGCACCTTAGGTGGAAATACTGTCTCACAAAGCAACCTCTGGTTTTTTGAGCCATTGTGGATGGAACTCGGTGATCGAGTCCCTTGTTCATGGGGTGCCTTTACTTGGGTGGCCTATGGCTTCAGAACAGTTTTTCAACGTCAAGTATCTGGTGGAGCAGGTCCGAGTTTGCGTCAAAGTAGCGAGGGGGAAGAGTTGTGAGGTTCATAAGGAAAATATATTGGCGAAGTTGGAGTTGGTGATGAACGAGACACAGCAAGGTAAGCAAATGAGAAGGAAAGCTAGCGAGGTAAAGGAGATTATTAGGGATGCCATGAAGGATGAGGAGGGATACAAAGGATGTTCTACTAAGGCTTTGGAAGACTTTCTAACAGCTGCTGCAATGTCATACAGGGTCGAAGAAAACGCTGAACTCAAAACCAAATGAAACGTTACTAAAGAGGAGAGAAAAATTAGCACTTGCAAAGTAAAGAATTTAAAGGCCGCGGTTCTTAAGATTGTTTCGGTTTATGATTTTGTTTTCTTGCCTTTATAATTTGTCTGCTTAACTTTGATTCCCTTCTCTGCAGTTGATGTTCAGTTTCAGTTACCAACTAATCACAAATATTTGATTTAAGTACAAATCAATCGCACATAACATGATCAGAAAATATCCAGTAGCATAACACTGTAAACCAAATTGAACGAATCTGACTCAATTAATGAAACGAGAGAGAGAGAGAGAGAGAGAGAGAGAGAGAGGTTGAAATGATATGCTATAAAACTCAGCAGAATTGCTTATACATGAGAATGTAGTCTTGTTGCAGCTGAAAACTGCCCTGTCTATGCCAATAATAAAAAACAATAAGCAAGACATAGCTGGGCTGTCATCCTTCGTCCACCAAAAGCTCCGAACTTCACACCACTCCACCGTAAAAGCTATGAACTTTCATACTCACTCCACCAAAAGCTAACAGAGAGACTTGGTGTTAGAGATCGCACATAGTGCCACCACTTTGGTGGAATATAAATCATATCACCTTCCTCTGAAATGCAGTCATGAAATTCCAAGTCACACATCTTTGGGAACTTGTTCTCATCTATGTTGTCTAGATCAACCTTCAAACCAAAGTCTTTTCAATCAGTATATATATTTGAGCTTCAGAACAGGGAATCCGATTCCATCTATATGATCTACATTGACCTCATCAGAGATAAAGGAATCAGGCAAGACACTCATACTTTTTGCCAACTACCCGAAAATGACCAATGGGTTTACCTTTTAGATATGCACATGGTTTTACTTTTTAGAGATGGAACTGTGACAATGCGTTTAGTATACAATCCTTTGTTTTCTTTCCGTGAGATTCGTATATCCACCATCACACACAACTATCCCATTACAATTTTTTTTTTGTTCCCTTAGAAAAACTATAAACGAACTCTGGAACTCATAATTGAAACAATTTTACGGTAAATCCAGCTTACTGGATGATTATTCTACTGAGTAAGTAAATCATAACACTCTAGAAGGCAACATAATGATGTAAATAGTTAATTTTAGGAAACTGAATCCAATATACCTGAGCAAGAACATTCTGGTGTGGATCGTGAAGTAATGGAGTTATGTTCCAGCTGGACCAAACCAAGCAGTTAGAGACCTTAGTTCGCCACCACCGCCGCAAAACAATGGTCAGGAATACAAATGTCCTCACGTAACTCGTTTATCTGCATATCAGTAATGGGATATCAGATATACGTAGGTGGAAAATTGGCAAAGTCCAG